TGCGCCCCGAGGGGGCGCTGCCGGTGTCCCAGCCAGCAGCAGGTGCGGGGGGGCGGGGGGTGCAGAAAGTCTGCGAGTGGGAGTCCGGGGTGCCTGCTGGTGCGGATCTGGGGGAAGAGGCCCGTGGGCTAGCGCCGGCTCGGTGAGGGGCTTCGACCCTCGCCTTTCTGGACCTCCCCGGGAGAACTATGGTCTCGCTCGTGCCCCCGGGATCCCAGCCCCACGGCCCCTGCGCAACGCGCTGGGCGCTCCAGACAAGTCCCTCTTCCATGCCATCTACCTAGGACCTCAGTCAAGATCCCCGGGCCCCGAAGCCCTCGACCTGGACCAGTAACTTCCGTCGCGGGAGGCGCCCCTGTGGCCCGCAGTCCCCGCCCCCACTTCTCATCAAGGAGGGGCTCTCCGGGGGGCAGCGTGCGTACTTGCCCCTTCCCCAGGAAAGGAAATGGGTGCCGCGAGGCCGCCGTCTCTACTCACCGCGGAGCCTCTCTGGCCTTGCCCAGGGTGCCCATGGTCGCGGCCCGCGCTCCCGGCACGTCCTCACCTGGCGCTGGGGGACCGGCTCTGCGGGGCGCGGCGCATGGCCACTGCCTGCCGGGTGCTCCCCGCCCGGCCCTCGCCGCCGCCGCTCCGAGCCGGCGAGCCCCACCAGGCGCACCCGCAGGCACAAACTTTGTGCGCGCGCCCCTCTGCCTCACACTCGCGCGCGCACACTCCCTCGCACACTCGCCCGCACGAACCACCTGACGAACGCTGATGTTATCGGCGGTAGGAAATGTGGGGCGCTCTTCAGCTCTTCTCCGAAACCTGCCCCCATTACTCGGCAGTCCCAGGAGCCTGCGCCTCTCGCAGTTCTCTTTTCACCCCTGCGGCCGCCGACGCTGCCAGTCAAAGGGTTAAGTCCCGGGGGAGTTGCGGAGCTGGCGAGACTGGGGGACCCCGAATCCCACCAACTCCGCGCCTTGCAGAGGACTGTGAGCTCGGAAACCCGCATCACCTGGCGGCTCTTGGGCCGCCCCCAGCCCCCGGTCGGCTGCAGTCTCAACCCCGGCGCCCGGGACTGTCCTGCCCCAGGACCCCGGCCCCTGGCAGGCTGCACTGTGTGTGTGCATCACGACGCGCGGTTGAGTGGGGATGAAGACCACGAGGGGGTCTTCCAGGAGTTCACGGGCAATGAGTGTTAGAGCGGAGAAAAACTATGCTTCGATTTCAATTTTTTTGTTCCAAAAGAAAATTGTACTTTAATTCCATTTTTTTTCCCAGGAAGTTTTGAAAGTCTGTGGCGTTGCCTTACCCTGTGCATTTGGGTCTCCTGGCAGCAGATTGCGAGACTGGGCTGCCGCCGTGTGCGCTGCGCCCTGGGGGAGCGCAGCAGGTGTGCAGATGTGCTCCCGAAGCGTGATCCATGTCGGGCCCAGAGACTGCGGCCTGGCGTGTGTGGGCGTGGGAATGGTGGGGAGAGGAGGGAGGGTGGGAGCGCGGAGAAAGCTTTCTTACTGTGGCAGTCAGAGAGCAGACCAGGAGTGTGGCCTACCCCTGCTGTCCTGTTGGTGAAGATGACAGTGACAATAGCTGACGCTGATTGAGCGCATTGTGCTAAGTACTCTCTAGGCATTGCCTGCGAGCAGATAGCGTAATTGCTGCGACTCGGAACTCTCATGTAGTCGCCCGTGGTTCAAGTCCCGGACCTGGTGGCTTAAACTCACACTAGGCACATGTGTGTACATGCCTAGGATCCCGAGAGGAGAATGGGGGATTGCGGCATGGTCGTCCCCACTGGGGGGTGATTTCTCACTTTCTGTCTCTGTCTCTCTTTCTTTCCGGTAAGCACATGCATCCTGTAGATAAAACCTCTCCTATATATATATATTTTTTTTTAGGAGGATATATATATATA